CATCATCATCATCATCATCATCATCATCATCATCATCATCATCATCACTCAGGTGTATCACGTTGCACTATGCTTTTCAGTTCCCTGTTTTGGGATTGGTGGTGCACACTAGCCTTACTCGTTTGACTGGACCGGTCTCGCGCCACGACTGGTGAAACATTCCCGAGATCCCCGGAAGCGCCTCCAAACACCAGGCACTACACAAGGCTTCGGAAAAGACTGGACTTTGGGCGGGTATAGGAGAGGCTGGCGACCAAGCGGCCTGAGCCAAATGCAACAAAAGGAGGTCTACTATATAACCCATGCTAGTGGAGTTGAGGTATCTGTATACATGAATCTACTAGGACATATGGTTGACGGACACAATCCTGCAGCAACCCATCAACGCGGGTCATGCAACAACCCCCGGTGCCCCCTTCAACGTTGGCGCTACAACCCTGAGATCCTCTGAGGGTGCAGGATTTGGGACATTCAATGTCACTGGTAGCGGTCCCAATGTTCAAGAGGGAGAACGAGGGTCAAAAAATGCTGCAACATGCTGTGTGGATCTCGTCCATCGACTGGTCAGCGACATGCAAACGGTCTCTCTCTCTCTCTCTCTGTCTGTTTCTCTCTGTTTCTCTCGCTCTCTCTCTCTCTCTCTCTCTGTGTCTCTGTGTCTCTGTGTCTCTATGTCTCTGTGTCTCTGTCTCTCTCTCTCTCTCTCTCTCTCTCTCTCCTCAGGGGGATGATCATAGAAAAGCCACAAGCAATGGGTGAAGAAGCCAGCTGCCACCACAGTGAGGTTCCTGAGAGGAGCAAAACATGCAAGGTTCCCAAACAATCCACCGACGTGGCATATTTACCTACATTGAGGTGTTCAAATGTTTCAACATAATATGCAATATTGTGGGATATTGTGGGTAAATATTCCATGCACATGGAGTGACGACACCATCAGGACTGGGCTCAGTCTTCCCAACCTTCGGTGTTGAGATGCAGAATTTGGGCCCGGCAAAGTCCGAATGAGATATACGATGGGTCTGGATGAGCAGCGGAACTTGGACGCTGGCTCTGTTGTTAGGACTTATCGGAAAGGGCCGGGCAATTGTTTGGGGACGAAGCGCTTTCACGCTTTCCATAAAACAATCACTGCAGCAAAACTACGTCATGGGGAAACCATGCCACATCCGGGGCAACAAGCACATGATACTGTTGAATCTTTGACTGACTGAATGCATTTGTACACTGCACTTTTACATTAAGGGCTGGGGGTGCAGCTGAAAGGACACGCCATTGATTTGTGCAAACTCAATGACCTTGGGCTGGTCTTTCACATGGCCCCGGTCTCCAATAGTAGTTAGCTGCTGGACATACTGCCAGGCGGTGCCACGCCAGGTCTGACCAAGGCACAAGGGCGTCTCAAAGACCTCAAAGCGTCAGAAGATTCACACGTAGAACATCAAAGAAATGAGTACAAAGAAGAGATGCTCTGAAAAAAGGGAGCATCCTCAAAACAAACTGGTATGGTGCCAAGTAATTAATTGATTCTAAAGTAAAACCTCCTTGGTTGGAGATGTCTCTTCTGAGGCACCCAAACGTCTTAACTGACTCCGACATATAAAGGGAAGCACAAAATTCCAAAGCTTGTTCTGCGAGGCGGATTCGCAGATTCACATTTCATTCTGGGAATGTCACGAATGTCACCCGCTTCATGAGTCGTCCATGTTGAGCAACTCTTGCATAAGCAAAGCTATTTTATATCTTATTATACCTTATGTTGTTTAACAACTGCCTTCTTACGGAGCTGCGCATCCAAACATATTTGGGCATATTCCAAAAACAGATCCAAAACAGTTGCATCCAGTTGCCCCATTTCCAACGTCGTTGGCGGCTCAGACACCATGCGCTTGGAGAATCGCAGGGCCTTCTCCACCATCTCCTTCTGCGCCACCGAGCTGGTCTGGGCGAGCGCCGTCGCGCCGTGCGGTGCGTGCCCAGGGAGCGGCGAACAGAATCAACCGCATGTTTGTTTACCCATGTCTATTCATTGATATTGTAGTGATATAAATTACTGTATGGTTATTTGCCCTAAGCATTCATTTGAATCGTTTGACACCTTTTTTGATGACATTGTTTGGGTAGTTGGTGGTCCTCGGTTCACTCAGGTTCTAGGTATAATTCAGCAGCTAAGTCCTCCAATGATCTACCCCTTGGCCTCTGTCAGGAACACACTCTCATACGATACACTGTGCAATTCTCAAGAAAAAGCTATGCATCTCTCTATGTTTTACCAGGACTCTGTCATTTGACAAACCCCAAAAGGCCCTGAGACAGCCTTCCCGGGCCCCACCAGCAAATTTCTGGTTTATGAGGTGCCTCAACATCAGGGAATCGTTTTTGAGGGCAAACTAGGTCAAAGTAAGTACACCCTGGAAGACTAACATGGACCCTGAAAACCACTGGTTGGTAGAGGAAAACACTCTTCCAGGGAGCCATTGTCAGGGTCTATGATAGTTCTCGGGAGTGTACCTTCTGATGGCACACCTGGTCAAAGCAAGTACCTCACCTCCTCACCTCCTCTCACCTCCTCTCTCACTCTCTCACTGGCGTCTAGCTGTCTCACAGCAGGACCTCAGTCACTGGGACCTCACCTTAGAAACAACATGAAATAACTAGCAGTGCATGTGGACTCAAGTATTGACTTGGTCTCTATTCGACAACGCGTGGGTGATGAGATGGCCAAACAACCATCAAAGGGCTTCCACAATGACCATCAAAGATGGGTCAAAGCGCGGAGATGTCAGGCTTTCCTCCCCTCCTTCCCTACTCATCCGTCTCCGACCTCACGACCATCCAAGCAACAGGAGCTTTGCAACATGCAACAACAGCAAGGAACCAACATGAACTCAAATAACACATCACCACCACTCCTTCGGGGCACCCAGGACGCATACGTCATGCATACGTCGACCCCCGCAGATCGCGACGCCGATCGCCGAAGCCGCGGCGGGCGAGCCCGCTCTCTCGTTCGGTCGCTCGACTCCACTTCGTCTTCTTCGGTCACGGCGCTCCATGGTTGCGATACATCTGGGCTGCGCGCAAGGCTAGAAGAAAGCCGCGTGTCATGAGCACCTCACGAGGTCGGTGCCACGATGTGCCACGCGCTGCGCCACGTGGAGGCGGCTCTGCGGCACCGATGGGTGGGGGAGGATGGTGAGGCATTGACTCGACCGTGCAGCACGGGTGGTTCTATGAGAGGGTTCCGCGATTGGTTCGACAGTTGGAAGGCTTGATTCTGCCAAAAAAGCATCGAACATTGGATAAAACTCAGGTCCCAATACATCTGTACAGGCGTTACATGGCGTTACCCATGAGGTAGTCCAGAACGATAAATTGTCTCCAGGTAGGAGGGTGCACAACTTGCCACAGCTCTACCCTCCGCGTGAACATTTGATAGTGATTGAACACCAAGCTGATATCGGTTGTAATGACAAAAAGTGTGACAGCACGACGTATCGACGAATATGCAGCGCTTCTTCACACTTTAAACTCTAGCCTCTTACGGTCCTCTAGGCCAGGCCCCCAAGAAAAAGTGACCGGGAACCACCGGAGCTTTCTATGATAAAATAACGTACTCAGTCTACATGGTTCATACCCTTGAGCTCCAGGGACGTCGGGTCCAGTCATACCGAACCTGCGGCACCTGCTTAGAGCAGCCTCTACGTTCCAAAAATGCACCATTATAAAAACATGCACCATTATAGAATCAAACCTCAACCCTTGCAGTGCTGAGAACCGGTTCTCTTTTTCAACTGGTCCTTGCTCAATGATGTTTGATGCCACAATTGGGGGAAAAGCAATGATACACATCCAAGGTTGAGGTTGATTCTATAGAGAAGTGGGGGAAATATTGTGAAGGTTGAATTTCATGTTAGAACATGATTGGACAAAAGAGGCACAGGAAGTTGATTCTTATTTTATAGAGACATGATTGGACACTGCAGGGCCAACATTCAGTTTAGAAGAAGGTTTAAGCAATAAGAATGGTCAATGTGTTCTCGTTGTTTTCAAAACTGTTTTTGTTAATAGAGGGATGATTGGACAATTGACATCTAGCATCCCACCGGAAATCGCATGAGATATCAACCTACCTGACCTCACACCACAGCATCCACTCTGAAATGAACTCTCAGCCTTCTATATACTATACTCCAAATGCTGTGGGCATCATGAAGATCAACCAGTGAAAGCACTGGTTTTGAGGCCAGCTTGTTTCAGGTTGATATCGCATTCTAGATAAGATCTGTCTAGAAATATGATGGTCCTTTTGATCTTGACCTCCCAGATTCTATAGGGTCTATTGACTCTATTCGGCGGGGGATCTTAGAGCCCTCTAGGCATATACAAAAAATCTCAATGCTGAAAACAACGGCATGTCTTGGATGGTCTTGAAATGCTGCCCCAACAAGCGACTTGACACCCCAACACTTATCAAAGCACAAGAAAAAACACGTGCCGCGCGCATCATACCCCTCAGCCTCTTCACGCCCCCCAGTCCCTTCCTTTCCTCAACGCCCCATACCCGAGTGCGCGTGGTCGCCCGGGACCAGGGGACCATCACGAAGAGGGTGGAAAACACCACGCTGAGCTCAATGGCCGCCACGCAAAGGATGGCCCAATGCCTGACGAACTCGTCGACTTCCACTCAGCTGCAGCGCAACGTTCCGGAGCTGCAGCAGCGTACCCAACGGAACGAGGTCGCTACCGGACCTCCAAAGAGACTACGAAGCCAGGGTGTTCCAACAGCGTGCTAGGTGCTGCAAACGCTGGGTTTTGGGAAACCAGGCCTGCTCTGGGATGAGTTTGCTGTTTGGATGCGCTTGGATCCTGACTTTTGTCGATCACGGAGTGGGCTCGGTCCGTGTGGGCGTAGCGGCGTAGCGGAGCTGGGACACCCTCCCTGCAGCAAACATGCAAGTGGACAATCCCCTGTGTTGTAACCCTGGGGCTCCAAGCACCTTCTGAGAAGGTGGAACTGGGGTGGGTTTGGATGGTCCAATCATACCCTCTGAGCAGGTATGAACATGGTCTCTCCAGGGTTGCGGCGCCATGGTTTCTTCCGATGTTGGAGCGAGGGGAAGGAGTAGATGTTTATAGGATCCTAATGGGCCACATTTGGAACACTGTTTGCAACACGTGAGCAAAGCTACATGGTACTACATGGTATATGGGCTTGAGGGAGGCCCATCTCTTTTCCCAAGCTCTGTATTTCTCCCACAATTGCTCTTTACAAAATACTATAATTGGATATAATTGGCCATCACTGGTTTGGGTGGTTTATACTAAAAGCGCATGGCGTTCCTGTACCAAACCCACTGCCTGTCATGCAGGGAACTCCCTCAACCAAAACTTGGGAACTTGGAAGTCCTGAAGCATCTTCAGGATGCTCTATCAAAGGCTTCTCCTACTGACTGCCAAACGTTGTCACCTCCGAGGCTCTTGCGGGCTGCCAAAGCAAACATATCATGCAGCCTCCCATAACGACATGGCAAAGGCCACATGACCAAAACGTGCATTCCAGCAGCACCAAGCCCTGGTGCACAGTTCAATCCCCTCATCCTCACTAGGTCTGGGATATCTTTGCCGCGGAACCTCTCCATGTCCACTAATTTACCTGGCATACAATCAACTCCTGAGCGGACGAAAGGCCGTCCGCGGCAGCGGACAACCCCGTTTGGTCGCCCCGGCGCCATCGTCCTCTAACGGTTTTGTCGGCGCCCGCCCATCCCTCCCGGACTCCCGGACCCCCCCAAAAATCAGGCCGCCTCTCTCCGAAGAAGTGAAAGAAACACAGCAGGATGCTTCCCGAAAGAAGACCCAGGCCAAAGGGGATCTTCAGAAAGTCCAGAAACCTTGGGCGAAGCAGGACGAAGAAAAAACCAGATGCCAAGTGCCAAGCACATGACGCATCACACCAGTTGATGCCTATAGATGAGATCATTGAAACTTGCCATCATGGAGTTGGAGGATCACCCAGGATCGACATACTTGTCATACCATACGTGGTAATGCGTAGGCCCGTGGCTCATGGCCTTTCGTGGACGGACCGTGAACCACGAGCCGCCCGGCGCCCACGCGCAGGACTCCAGTCGGAGCCTTTCTGAACCGAACCGAACCGAACCGAACCCTTTCTGCACCTGTTCTGAGGTTTCACGATGTTCACCTCTCCCCCCTCATAGTGCATAGGGCATAGGACCAGGTCCCGTTCATTGGGGACAAGTGCCCCATCCACGTTCTCTTGCCGGGGTCACCATTTCCGAACTTCTTCTCGTCGGCCCGAGCTCTCGACCGAAGTCTACGCCGGCGCTCTGCAGTCGACTGGCGCGACCGAACCTAGCGACCAAGATGCCTCGTTCCTAGCGGCCGGTCGAAGGCACGCTCCAGCATCACCAGGTGAGTGGTGATGATCGAGTAGCCCATGAACTTGTTCCTGGGCCCCCACGGACGCAACGGCGACTCACCAGCTGGAGCACAGGCCACGACGCAACGGTCAGTGCACCCGGAAAAAAGAAGGAAGACAAGACGTCGTCAGAGTGGGACCTAACAACAAACCATCTCTATATAGACCTCACAGCATTCAGCAGCCGAACAGATCTCAGATGGCCATGGGCAGCCTTAAAAAACCATAGGGAGAGTACCCACTGGAGGTTCGGCAACCAGGATTTCTGCCAATCCAGCCACTGGCTAGAGTTTTCTGTGGTTTAACTGGATTCCGGGGGAACCATTCAACACGTGAAATGTTTTCTCCGTGGGGCAATCTCCGGATGACCTGAAAAAAAAAACACCCGCGCCGATCTCGGACATCAAACCATTTCAACACACCAAGGCACAACCAAAAGAAGATCTGACACACCAAGCCTGGGCAGTTCTTGAAGTGATGCAGCGCTGTGTGGACACAGTTTGAAGCCTGTTCGAAACCATCGCTAATGACCAAACAACTGCATCATATGGCATATGGTATGTGTTTACATGTGTTTACCATTGGGAGTGTGTTTTTTTCCAGGATGTGCTATAGGGCATTGCATTGGCATTCCATCCATTCAAGCCTTTGGGACCCTTTGATTTCGACACCAACCCGACCAACAAGATCTCAGAATCGCTGGGGGCCCCAGGTGAGGCAAGCAGCGACCATCGGTGCTGAGAGGTTCCACCATGAGACTTCTCAAGCACCGTGGAACCATGATACTTTTTGTTTGAGGTTCTCTAAAGCACATGAGACTTCTCAAGCAACATGGTTCCACCATGATCTTCGACTTTCTTAGAGATTGCTCAAGCAATCTATAAAACTACGAGGTCCTTGCACTTCCTGATTGACAACAGGGGACTGGCCTTAAGATTGACTCATGATTGGATAAGTGTTTGATTATGTGCTATCATGAATTTGGCACCCAGGACCCTCCCACTTCATGTTGCCCGACTTCTTGGGCCCAATATTCCTTACCACTACTACTACTACTACTAGTGGTGGTAGTACTAGTAGTAGTAGTACTAGTAGTAGTAGTAGTAGTAGAAGTAGTAGTAGTAGTAGTCCGTTCTGTGCTCCCAGAACAACAGCGACCCTCAAATAGACCACTCAACAAAACAACAAAACAAGAGCTTCATGAAACTTCACCATGCCGCCTGCTCGGCATTGTTTCTTTCAGTGCTCCCTATTTCGACGAGCTGTTGCTTGGCATGGCCGCTCCCCAATCACAGGCATTGGGTGGAAAAACATCATGTTCAGATCGCCCAAGAGGTGGCTTTGATGTCTGGTCGCCTAGGTGGGTCACGCCCCAGATCCGAGGTGCTGAGAGTTCGAAAGACGTGGGTGTCCGCATAGGACCTCGTTCTTCCGCGAAAGACTCCGTGACGAAGGACTCGCGTGCGCGTGCGCGTGTGGAAGGGCGCAAGCCAAGCCAGAATCCTTTCAGGTCCAAGATCACCCGCTGATGGCGGTCCAAAATCACCCGCTAAGAGTCTAGCTGGGACTTTTGGGCTTCACCCCCCCCACCCAGTGCTTCACCACATGCTTACGCCCTTTCGACTGACCTCAGTCCTTTAAAATGGTTAAAGGACGGAGACGAGCTTCACATGGTTTGGGGCGTCGTCTTCGTCCTTTGGACTGAAAGGAGAGGTGCGACTGCGACAGGTCACATCATACACCTAGCCATTGCATTCTAGTGCTATACCAAGCCATTGCATGGTGCAACTTCAGTATGACTCAGTACTTGCTTCGTGCAACTTCAGCCCGCTGTAGGCACCGAAAAGCCAGAGACGCATCAAGGAATCTATCCCCGAGGCCTATCATAGGCCCATCCGTTCCCAGGGCCACACAATTGATGTACTGCAAACCAACTTATCTGTACATTCCTTGTCAAGGCTTGCAGGAACCAAAAGGCACAAACATATAGTTAAACAAGATGAAACAAGCCACAAATGCAAAGTAGTTGGAGGACCTGATGCCTTATGATTGACTTGCGGGACCCCGGCAAACCCACATGCCCGGACTACATTGACCAAACATGGAGGGTGTGATGGAAGAGCCGAGCCTTTCCGCGCGCGCGCACGCTTTGTCTTACGTTCAGCCCCGGGACGCCCTCAAAGAACAGAGCGGGTTGGTAGCGATATGAAGCAGCCACACATTCGTGGCATCCAGGAAGATGTGCCATCCTGCAAAGCAACCACGCCAATCAGATCTTGCAGGCAGATATGCGATGTGCACCTGTGTTCTGAACCGCTGGCATGATCGTCCTCAAGTAGAGGAGATTGGTACATATATATATATATATATGTATACACACAGTAACTATAATATATATATATATATTATGCAGTGGAGCATTTGGTGTCCTATGGGTTGCCCATTCTCAGATGGGGGGTTTGGATTTGAAGCCCACCCTAAAGGTCACCCATGAGACTGTTGCCTCCTCTTGCTCCATCCAATTCTTTGAAGAAAACCACTGGGCTCATCAACATGAGCCCGCCCAGAAACCAATCCGTAAATCCGAAGTAAGGCACCTTTTTTTTTCTTGTGGTCCATAAACGGTCATAATCCGTAAACCTAATAAACCTTCCTGGAGACAAGCGAATATCAATCAGAACATCAAATCCTCAACCATTAGGGACCTGTTTGGTGAGGGAACAACCCACAAGCCAAGCACGTTTGGGAGTTCTCCAAGCACTCAGGCACCCGAAAACGGAAGCAACTTATCCAAACCGCTGAGTTGGCGGTTCTGGATCCGCACTTGGCTCCGTCTCAAGCGCTGGTTGCCGTGGAGGAGAGCCACTAACAAGTGTCGCCAAAAGCTCAGACTTTAATCCTGAATCAGCAAATCACAAAATGAGGGCTCTGATCGAGTTACAAAAACATAAATTGGCACAACACCTGGCAATCCGAGAGTTTTAGGCCAGGACCAGGTGAATTCCAAGATCAGAACCCCCAGGTGCAACGGACTGCCCTTGGAGTGCTCTTGGATTGTCTGATGGATCAGGGACATGAAAGGGCACTTGGTGGGCAAAACTTTCACAAAACCGGGCGCACGGTTTCAGAGATCACACAAACACTCCCCCCCCAAAGGCATCCAAGCCAGTGTCTTTGCAAGAACGCCAAGCCACGCTGCTGCACGAGGAAGGGAGATAGCAACCACCAAGTCATCTCTGAGTTCAACACCATGCCTCAAACAGGCTGACTCAATGACTGAACCGAGTAATTAGATTATACGATGCCACCAACCACCTCATGTCTGTGGTTTCACACCTACTGTACATCGCGAGACTAAACCTCCATGGAGAGCCCTCAAGGACTCAAACTGCCCTTCCCGGACAACACAATAGGCTGGCATAGGCACTTGAGGACTAGACTGAACACATGCTAAACGAATCATATGAGTTTGGGCGGGGCAGTGGAAACGCATCGACCATTGAGTGCATCGATCCTTTCTGGGAAGAATATACGTCAATGCGATGATGAGCTCATCGACCTGTCAGGCTTGGAGAGGTTGCATATGAGGCATAGCGGCATAGCTTCTGCATCATCACCGTCCCGAACATGAATCTGAATGGTACAGCCAAATATTGTTAAAAACTATGTATAGATCGTACTATATTACACACATTCATCACAGCAAGTGCCCAATTCCATGGGCACAGATGTTGTTCAAACGACCTAAGGTGTCACAGTCACAGGGTCTACGCACGCTCCCGGTGCGAGTGCTGTGATTTGTGATGGATGTGGATGTTAATATGTCAAAGGATCGGTTGGCACCAATGACCCAAAAAGAAAGGTCATCTCAAAGAGGATTTAGAACATCAGCATCTTCTGCATATCCACTGCCAAGGATGCTTGAGTCACGGTCGATACAACCAGCAAAAGACTTTTGATGCGGGATTTCTGCCAAGAAGTGCAACACATGTTGACCTTCCTGTTTGAGCACACTCCTGGCTTGAACAAAAGTGACCACAAAAAAAAAAAACATATTCTCTTTTTTGACATCTGCATCTGCTGATCTGCCATGCTCCACTTTAGAGCACAATCTCCGTCGAGGAACGAAGGCATAAGAGCGACATGACGGTGCTGTAGGAGATGACCACGTAAGCTGAGACCTTATACTCCTCAACCGCGTTCCAGCGGAAAGGTACGTCGGAGCCCTTTCACGCGAAGGAAGCGAAGGCTTTTGGGAGCTGTTCCCGTGCCCTGGGGGCCAGAACCCCACGGAGCCCAGTGATCTGACATCACTAAAAAACGTCTGAGGCAAAATGTCTTCGCTTCATTTCGCTTCGGTTGTTTGATGGTTGAAGTTAAAAGGGGGGGTTCATGAAGTTCGCATCTTTCATTAGTTGTCCGATTTCGGGCGGGCTGCAACCCACTTCTTAAAGGCGTCGCGTCTCTAGGGTTTCACAACCGGAGTCGAGGTTCATGTCCTCTCACATCTGCTCATCAAAGCCCCGTCCACGATGCGCATCGCATCAGTTCTTCTTGGATTTGATGATCAAGTAACCGGACAATGTCAACAAGAAAACAATCTCAGGAAGGGATTCGCCCATATATGTTAAAATAAACGTCATCCTAAGCAAAACGCAGATCTTTCCATCCTGCCACCCTCGCAGGATGTCCAAAACATTCTACTCTGTCTGTGTTGTCCTCCCCCGAGCCAGTCCTCGTGCTCGCAGGGGGCCTTTCCATTCACGGCGAAGGCCACCAAGGGCCAAATGATGGCGGTGATCGCCAAGGTGGCCTCGATCCCATCCGGTGCCAAACCAGGAGGGTACCGGGTGCCTCCACCCGCCTCTCCAACAAGGAACTGGTTACGCGAGATCCTTTTTGCAAGTTCCCGGTGTTCACGAGCATGTGGCTTGACAACACTCATACTTGTCCCGCAAACATTATGTGTTGGCGTTCCTGGCTTTTTAAGCTGTTCAGCTCTATCTGGTAAGTAAAGGACTACCTATACAGTATATTTATTTATACCATTATCCACCTGGTTCTTCAAAGTGACCTTAAAATGTCCTGGCTTGAGGTCACTTGGGCTTGTAAAAAAACGCCCCTTAGGGACTCCAACATGTACATTGCTCACTTTGAAGAAGCATGTATACCAAATTCCGCAAAAACATATACGACCCAGCTGCCAGCAACGTACTCGACCCAGGCACCGCTAGCACGGACCGCAAGATGGCACGTCGCCGTACTCCAGACCTCGGTGCGGTCGTCGGAACCGTCGACGGGTCGAACCGTCGGGTCATCGGTGGTCGTTGGGACCCGAGGTGGTCGGACTGGAGTGGGGCTGGAAGATCATCCTAGTTCCGAGGGGTCCCAGGTCGGAGGTGAGGTCAGAGGTGTCCGATCCAAACACTGCCATTTCCCAGTTCGGAACTCCGTTCGTCTATAGTTGACCTGTTTGATTCTGGGATCCCTGACATCATACCACAAGCTAGGTGGCTAAACATGCCAGTCCCCGGTCCCAAACAGGTCCTGTCTAACAAAACAGCTGATCCTCAGGCCGGTCAGCTGATCCCGCCGGATGGCTTGGAGCTCCGTGAAAACCACACGTTTGACAGGCTCCAATGGTTCAAAGGATTGAATCGTCAGCTGAAAGTCTGCTGATCTAGCACAGCTCGCAAGATCCTGTCACCTCCCGAAGTCTCACTCACTTAAAGTGTACTGTATATCCAAAGGATTCCAAAGTTCAAGAAGAGATCAAGTATGCCCTGGCCCTCACATGACTGCATCATGGCATCGGGACTCTTGGTTGAGACGTCGTTTAGATGCTTTTAGTCTTTTAGTTATGTCTGCTATTGAGGACGTCACGCCGACAAATCAAACCTACAAGTTCACCTCAAACATCCCCAAAGCTGTCCTCAAACATCCCCAAGCCTTGGATCTGGATCAATGTCCCCATTGGATCCCCCTCCAACTGTTCCAAGCCCAAGTGGCCAACCAACTGGCTCTGCTTCCAGTGGCCGCAGAGCTCTCCGCTTTGGCAACGAGGTCAGGGCCTCCTCGGACCCCTCGCTGGTGGTCAGGTCCTCGAGAGAATCGGCGCACCACATCACACGATGTCGCACTGCGACATCGTGTGATCGTCTTGACGGTTGCATCAGGAACTAGATGCGTAACCAAAATTGGGGTGTAACATGTTATGTTACTATACCCTGTGCCAAGGCATAAGTTCCTAAAGTAGTTATTATTGTCCATCGACCATCCCTATATAATACAAGAACATCGGAATATGAAGGAGCTCTTGTTGCGGGGGCGGCCGCTGGACTACCCCAAAGAACAAGGCATCTTTCAGTCTACCACTTGCGGCAAGCCTCGTTTCGTCCGAATTGGTCCCCCCTATCCTTGCAACCCGGTGAAGAAATCCAGGCAGCCAACCTGAAAGGACTCTTGATCATCAGCGTTTCGTCCATCCCTTCCAGCTAGAGGACACCCTGCCTCAAACCACAAATCGGTTCCCCTCTTTCCCATTGATCAATCCTCCACCATGAGCTGGAGCAGCGGGAGGACCATCATTTCAAGAACAACGTCCGTGAGAATCGCTTCAAAATCTTCATCTCATTCCTTTTCCCGATTAGGTACGGAGGCCATCGCTCTTCAGTTGGAGGCCGCTATTAGGTTGGAGGCCATTGCTTCTAGGTTGGAATCAAGCTATTATTAGGCCATCGCTAGTATAGGCCTTGGGTAAACCAAACAATTCATGTCAAATGACTTCACGGTCCATTTGCCAAAACATGTCCCAACGAGGCACATCTTCAGTGTTCTCGACCTCTGAGCTGCTCTTGGTTTTGTCGCTGACATAGCTGGAACTCCTTGGGGAAACGCAGGAACATGTACGACTAATACTATAGTTTCTACGCGGTTGTGGACTCAGCGCACATGAGACAACTGGTGGTTGGGAAGTGGTTCGGTTGTCACTGGTCGCATATATAGTCGACCTGTTGGTTGTCGAATGTGTTCCTGCCAGTTCGGTTCGGGCGGCCGCGACGTGAAAAGCAAAGGTTATGTTCATGGCACTGGCGATGTCTTTCCCTTCCCTGCCCTCTGAGAAAAAGAACATGGCACCCGTGTTTCTCTATGTGTCTCTATGTTTCTCACAGGGTGATTGGTGAGGTATCGTTGGAGAAAGCGTGCATCGTTGGAACACCGAAGACCGAAAGACAACGCCTCTTTGAGAAAGCAATGCATTGATTATATTGTACCGTTGGCAAGGAAATGAAGGAACAACCGTGTTTGACAAACAAACTACACAGAAACCCCTGAATTGGAAGGACACTGCGATTTTGACAAACAAAACTACAGGGTTTACCAGCCACATGGGAAGCCTAATTGTGGAACAACTGACCAGCTAACAAACAAAATGAATCAACATGGCAGTGGCAGCGGTGAAAGCCTCTAGTCTAGAGCCCTGGTCTCTGCACTTGACAACAAGGAGCTCATTAGGCCGAAACCACCAACTGTTGGCTACTTGGTCTTGGACACCGGACTTATGAAAACACGTGCGGCCTCATGAGAAAACATCCGAACACCGTGCGAAGGAACTAGGGTCGTAACCCGAATGTTTTCCGTCGTCCTCGGAAGCATAGGACTCCCATCTGCCGAAACGAGGTGTCCCAGTGCTCACTACGGACAGGTAGATGACCTCGTCCATTTGCCAAGCAATGCACGAACATCACCATACAGATCTTGCCATTCAATGCCCCATGTTGCAAAAATCATCAAACATGTCGACAACATCCCTACAACGGTTTGAAGTCAACATACATGATCATCATGTATTTTTAGGTTGAGAATGAAAGCTCAGTCAACATCGAGTCTTCCCATCCCCCATCCATCCCCATCCCATCCACCTTCCCCCACCAGACTCACCAGACCCCGGCATCGACCCCAGTTTTGCGTCGGGACTCGATGTCTCGATGTCTCCATTCAGTGGTGGGGCCTCTAGGTCGGTACTGCCGGAGGTGGACGCCCTAGGTGGTGCGGCCCGCTATCGGATCGAAGCTCAATAGGCGGGAGCTTCGGTGACGATGAAGGTCGGCTCCCCCAAATGGATGGAGAAGAACCTCTTCTATCAGGGGGGCTTTAGGAATCAAGAGATCATGATTGGGTGAGACCTCCCAGCCCTTCCACGACGGGAGGTCTAGGTGACTCAAACCCACTGTTGGCAACGGGTGGCACCTTCCGGCCGAGACGCGGACGTCTGTTCACGGCCCCGCCGAAGCCACGACCGGCCCTGGGTACTGGGGGAGTTTTTCAAGTGTTTACTTTCCAAAATGCGACTCGTGGCTGGCCCTGTACAATTTGCTTGGGGGTCTCCCTATTAACATACACACCCATTTATCCATTTCTTCTTCAGCTCAAGTCGGCTCAAGTTGGAAGGCCGCACGGCCCAAGCTGCGTCAGGGTCGAAGAAATACAGAAGCCGGACTGTCGCTGCCCAAATGCCACTCACTCACTCACTCACTCACTCACTCACTCACTCTACAGGTCTCCAAAGTGAAGGGTTGTTAGGCGCTATAAGAATCTATAAGAGGTCACTATTGGTGACCGGAGAGCGCTGGTAGTTCTACGATGTTATACATAGGATTATTTAGGGGTATTCTGCTCAGCTTCGATCTGGAAACTGTGGAGGGTAAGCACCTCTAAGCCTTATTAACCTGATCCTTGAGAGGAGGTAGTTCAGGTAGTTCAAACCTAAGCCCTGGGGTTTGGCTTGCCCAAAGATGCACCCTGAGTTTCAAGTTAAAACTTGTTTTGGGCTACTTGGCAGCTTGCGGAGTGACGTTAAACATCATCTATATAGTAGCTCTGAGACTCCACAATATGTTTAAACCCTTGAGCTTTGCAAAGCAAACAATGGCCCTTTGATGCTGGCTAACAAATTTCAACATGCAAAGGTTTCGACATGTACACATGTTTCGAAGCTCTTATTTCAGTGGAAACTATTTAACACATCTCCCAAGCGCGGCCCTCCTCAGGGAAGGGGCCCCAGGAATTTGGCCCAGCAGCCGGGATCCGCTCCTTCCGTCGTCTTTGTGACTCGGCGACATCTGTTTTGAGCCGAGTCTGGGAATGTCTGCAGCAGTGCACAACAAACTCGCAAGATCGAGTACGCAGAAAGCACTGGGTAGGTGATTGCTTTCCTGAAAGTTGCCCTGTTGCCAGTCACTGGAGATTTTCTGAAGTTTACTTCCTAATCTTCTCATATGCTTTATTGTGTTTTTTTGCTTTCCTTTCTGGTGGCTTCCCCTCAGCCACACGAGCGGCTCGTCACCCACATTTGGCACATCTGTACATCCTCCTTTCTGAATGGTATACTTATGACACTTATAGTAGAACAATCACTTCAGGTAAGGGACCGAGTGTGTATAGGTTGAGCTTGTTGCTCATTGAAACCTGATGCAACCCTCCATGCTCGTCTACAACCTCCCATCTGCTCCACTTCTCCAGTCCACTCAAGAAGAAGCAGCTCAGCTGCTCGCGCGTGTGGGGAACGGTGTTGCTCCCAGCGATCGGTTTCGCATTTGGACGAGACAACTGCGACGTAGACCGAGGGAAGAAAGAAACAATAAGTTCCTTACCTAAAAAATAAAGAGATCCACTGTGGTTAGCCTCTGTGATCCATTGGCCGGCGTGGCCAGCGCACAACCCATACTGCCGGTGCCGGTGCCAAGAAACCCCTGCAGCAGCAGAGGTGCTCTCCTGCATCAAAATGTTGGTGGGCGGTCGTGGTAGGGCGCAAGCAACACAAAGTAGAACATGAACAAGTTCTCTAAGGGTTTTGCGAATACCCCCTGGCAATACCCCTTGGAATCCTCCCCACATAGAGCTATGTACAGTAACACTTCTATAAGGGCTATAAGGGCTATATATTGACGGTCTTTCTGGTGATGGCCTGATGAACCGCGACTTCTGTAGGGCCACGCCACTGGCCACGGGGTGTTCCTTCAAAAAGGCTGAAGGATGATTTGGGGTGTTCACTGCATACAGTGGTACCAAAACCAGTAGTTAAATCAGTCTAAATGCATGTTCATCACAACTATTGGAAGTCGTCTTGTGTCCTCTCAACTTCAATTTGCCTTAGGACGCCCCAGGGTACACAGTAGGCCCCACTGACTTCTCTTGAAACTCCCCGTTCGACGTCTCACTCAGACTGGGGGCGTGGGTGTTCAGCCCAAATCTGTGATGGACACCTAGGGAAAGACCCTCAGGACACAGCTGGATGAAAACCTTTGACCCCACGGAGCAAAACATCAAATGATGATCCTCTATAGGGCTGTAGGGCTCCAGCTGTCTGAGGTGTTTGGGGCCGATGCCAGGAGGGTCCAAATACCTGAGGTCGAACGGCTAGAGCCCTAACAGACCAGCCCGCCCCCACTCCGCCGCGACCCACCTGCCCACGGGTGGAGAAGAAAACCACCTCCCCTCGGTCGGACGAGGTCTGGGTTGACCAAGTGTGGCTCAGCCATTGAGCTGAACACCAGGGGTGGGGTGAATGGAGATGGGACCGATTGGTCTAGCGCCTGAACAGGGCGCATCAATGAAATCAAATGAAACCAAACTGTGAGAAGCAAAGTGCAATAGCTGCCAACGGGTGATTATGGTGATTGGAAGCTTCAGAGCAAACGCCCCACGCTGTCATGGGAGCAACGCACTCGACCGGATCCGTCTGAAACAAAGCAGCCAAACCCGGCCACCTCGGCGGTCGCGCGACCCCCTGGGCCGCCGGGCGTCCGGAAGGGTCCTCAGGCGCCGGTGTGGTCGCCAGCCATCCCTATAAAACACACAGAAACGATCGCAAAACGTTGCTTCATTAGGCCCAACGATCAAGCAACTTGGCCTAATTCTTCCTTAACAAAACGAGAAAGAATTGGTAGGCTATAAGTAATCGAGTGGGGTGGGTGATGCGAGAGACTCGTCGCAGTGACAAACATGTATGTGACATTTTGCCGAGGGGTTCCAGGTAGTTGAGCCTTTCAAGAAAAACTTGCCCTACAGGTCAATGACCTCAATTGACTGCAGTTGGTCATACAAAAACACCACTCAAGGAGTCCAAGGAGGAAACTGAACAGGTTTTACTGGGTCTTTGGACTTGTAGGGTGACATTGTTTCCATTTCTCCTCGGGCATTTCTAGAACAACTTCTGGGAAACATTGCCACCAACCACTGAAGAAAACTGTTCTGGAGCAAGAAACCTTCTATCTTCTGATCAGTGAGCTTCTGCGAGCCTTTCAAAATCCAGGTTGGATCAAATACCCGGGTCTACCATCAAACTATCTCTACCTTTTTGTCTGGTTTTAGAGATGAGCAAGCAAACATGTTGCATCTTTGGAAGTTGGAATGCACAGGGGTCGGAGAGGGGTTTTTCAGAGAGGGCATCGGGTTGACATGGAATGGGGTAGATCGTTGTTCGAAATAACCCCGTGTTAGCTGAAAAGTGCTGAAACTGCAGAAAGTATCAGAAAGTACCACACTGTGACGTCTGCGCTGCTGGGTTGATGTTGTTGTTTTTGTTGACATATTTGACATGGCCAGTAGTGATGATGGTAAGTATAAAATCTGTCCCCCAAAAAAAAACAATGATCATCTTTTACCGACTGGTTTACTGGGTGCACACCGTCTGCTTTCTCTCTCCGATCTTCTCTTAAAAGATTTAAATAAACTAAGAGCAAAGACGCTACTAACTAGGGGCTCCTGGCATCGCTACGAACGGAGCTAAGACGCATTCTGTCGGGTCCTTCGGTCCTTCCGAGTTGAGCCAAGCCTTACCTCCGGTCTGACGTGCCAACCCGTTGACGACCGGGGGAACGAACCCGATCTCCAACTCCAAGGGGCTGAAGGCGTGGAGGGCCTGGCAGGCAACAAGGAACTCTCGAAAGGAACCATCCGGGCGAAGGGGTCATAGAATCTCTTCAAATGATTCCCCAACTCCAAGTGTGAGCTTCTATCTTGTGCACATGTGGAAGGGTCCGGTTTTTCAAGCTTGTATCCTTGGGACATCTTCCAGCCGAGGCAAGGTAATACCTGCAATCTCTTCTGGCAACTGGGCTCACACATCTCAAAGATTGAGTTGAACTTGATCAAACACGCACCTTTGAATCTATTTTAGAGTGAATATTCTTTGTGCTTTCGCTTCGTCTTCTACTTCGGGCTGTATGGTAGGCGGCCTTCCGGCCATCGTGACTCTTCAGTCACCATCCCTCCATATTTTTGGATAGCGACCCTCAGTCGCAACTGGGATCCTCCAGCTGGACATGGAACTGGCCCAAGCTTAGGGAACTCCCGTGCTCACTCCGTTCACGGCTCCCGGTGGTTCGAGAAGATGGAGACCCCTGGCGACTGAGGGTCTCGCTCCCTCAGCTAGATGGCTTGGGGCCCATGCTTCATTGTACTCCTTCTGTGATTTCCACATGTCCGGCAGATAGTCAGAACTTTCCAGTCTCAGTGGTCTCAGTTGTTCGAGGGTGGATCAGTCACACAAATCACCTGCAACCGCTCCACTGCGGCGTCTTGAGACGAAACCGGGCCTGTCAGGAGATGCATCGGATGATCTGTGTTCGGGTGACCGGGTGACGGTCCTGTTTCACCAGATCCCCAGATCCATTGACAGCGTCAAGTTCCATGGTTTGTTGGGAATTCTGCATTAAAGAGTCCAAGTCCTTGCACCCACTGCGCCAAGTCGTCCAAACTGATTTCGCGCGCCAAGAGGTTCACCATTCTGACAACCCATAGGGTAGCTTGCTTGGTCTGGGTCGAGTCTGGGTATAGCTGGCGTGTTTTCCGTGGCATGAACAGGTGCTGTGGGCCCCCGACGCCATCGAAAGACTCACCGTCCCAACCTCGACGCCAGCTCCGTGGCGGCGGGGGAAAGGTGTGGCTGTGGGCACCCCATCCATGACACAAAGGTACCCACACCCAAACGCTCCATGGTGGCGCCAATATGGCCTACATGACTGGTGTTTTTTACGGGGAGTTTTCACTCCGCGCACGGATGCTAGTGGGAGAATGCACTCAAAAAGGAATATGGAAGTGGAGTGAGTTCACCACCTGGTTGGTCCAAACGGAACATGGTCCATCCTGTTGTGGCCAAGACCAGACCATCCATCCACTGCCATGATGAGTTCAGGGAGAAACTCGGGAGAAAGTTGGGCACAGGGGCGCGGGAGCCTGCTAAAACCACAAGAGTTCGGCAAATAAAACATCTGTCCATATCTGTCCAATATGTGGGAGCTGGTGCGGAATCCGCATTAAGAGTCTTAGAACATTAGCAGTGTTTGGCTTCAAAGGTGTGGAGGGTCTGAACAATTGCTGGAGGAAACACAATGTCACAATGTGTGCAAATAGGTGGCACGTAGATCTTCAAATGCCAATCATTTGACAAAGTACATGTTTGTTGTTGTTTTTTACAAACAATGTTTCGTCTCGTCTTGTGCCCACTGAACCAGGCTCACGTGCAATAATGATGGCAAAACTCTTGAACACTGATTTTCATGGTCCTTCTCGAGGTGCACATCGCTGGGGAGTGCAAGATGTTCTACCATGTTCTACATGATGTTAAGCAAATTACACTCCGACTCACTAACATGGAAGTGGAAAACCACGTGTTTGTAGAGGACAGTAGTCTTCCAAGTGACCATTGTCCACTTCCATGTGATGTGTTCGTCAGAATGTATCCACCTTTCGGAAGCCTGTTTTCTGGTCTCCGCCCTTCAAGCCGCCATCGACCCCGAAGTGAACGCGAGTGAAGCGAGTCGACTGAACCCTGTGACTGAACACGGTCGCCGACGCCGAGCTCCGGCCGTGCAGTTTCCTCTGTCAGTGTCGAATGGGTTCGCTGACAAGGAATGGGTCACTTTTTTACACTTCCCATTCATCATGGGTCAATAGGGAAGACAGAATCGACCCACAGCATAAGATAGTATAAGCAAAACAAACTAAGTGCTCAATTTCCCCCTCACTTTTCAGGCGGCCCTCGTGCTGTACCGCCCTGCACCTGGCCAAGCTCCATGCGAGGAATGAACCCGGACGCTGAGTGCCACAAGCGAAGATCTGCTAGGCTCCCAAGCCCTTAAGCTCCTGGTCTTCACGGTCTCCTCCCTCGAGTCCGAGACATCACTGGGACCCGGCTCTGAGAAAAGCAGAGCCTGGGCGGCGGGGAACCCGGGACCCGGATCTGAGTCGGTGGGGTTCATCCTGCTGAGTGGTGAAGACCTGCAGGAGGTCGGTCAGAATCCTCCTGAAGAGGTCGTGATTTGAGACTCCAAGAAAACCGGAGGACCATGCCCGTGAAAAAGAGGTGTCGAAAAAACAAGCATGCCGCTTCTTGTATCACCCAGGTAGAGAGACGAGCTCATACCTTTCATGATCAGGGAGGTCTGTGGACAACGCCTGACCCAGATTTCCCAACAAACCTCCGGTCAATTCTCAGAGAAGCGTCGAGTCAAGGAAACAATTCTACGTGTGACGTGACGACAAAGCAAAAGAGGTCGACCATGTTTCTCATGCATCTGGGCGACCTGTCATCTCATCCACAACTTGGGCATGCATATCACTGGAAGTGCAAGCGGCCGTGCAATCCATGATTAATTCCACATTTCACGATTGAAAGCAACCCTTTAAACTTGATATCTCTGGTCACAGTGGACAAAGTGCGTGATTGCAAGTCTTCGGGATATGTCCTCCAAAAGGGTAACCATTGCGTACAAAAGCCACATGTTATTGCAACTGCGAGAGGAAGACCTTGACTACTCCAAGTGCAGTTCTTAGGATATGGGCTACGAGTGAATGGCTGCTCCATCCGCATGTGCTACTCAACCACCTGATTGGACACTTCGACAACCTTTAACTCCACCAAGAGACGCTTGAGAGTTTTACGCGCAAGAGGCAAGGCTTCAACCTTAGATTTTTGGCGCGGCACATTGGACACATGTGCAAAAAACACCTTGTGCGATTCCTGTCATGTGCCAGCTGAATCCATTGCCAACGTTGAACTAATTGTGAGTTATTCTGGCTATTTTGGGAGCCCCTGGTGGTACACAAAAACCCGGTGTCCATTGAGAGAATTTGAGAGATATCAAAAGAAAGGAGTTTGACTCAAAGCAACTTGAAATCCATCTGTATCTCTCTCTCTCTCTCTATCACACCCTTGGCTACCTTGGCCCCTGAAAATCAATCGCGACAGTTTGCTAACAATTCATCCGCCACTCCACACCAACATGTGCGATCTAGGAAGGTCTTTCATATTTGGGGCCCAGTTCATCGTGAATGTCCCCAGGCACACGGGCTGCTTTGACCGTGATACCCTGTGTCATTTATGAAACCAGCTCCCAACATGGGTCTGGAGTTTTCAGGAGTCACAAAAGGGTGGTGTTTAGTTCCCATCCAGTCAGTGGATGTTCTGGGCACCACTAACCTCCATGGATAGCACCCCTTTGTGACTCTTGGAAACTCCAGACCCATTTTGGGAGCTGGCTTCCAACTCCCAAAATGGGTCTGGAGTTTAATTGCTGTCTTGTACTTGTTTCCAATGTTGGGGTCAGTCTCAGATCTCAGCCTCCAATCCCGAGAAACTCGTCGGCACACGAAGATGTCTCGGTCGTGGAGTCTGAAGATGTCTGGGGATGGAAACGTGGATCTTGTGGAGTCAGATCCTGCATAGAAAACACATAGAACATACCAGGACCCACAGGTATAGGTGGTGGTAGACATGGACACCCCGAATCACAGCTAAGGGGCTATATATAAATGGACACCCCGACAGGAGGGTCCTGGTGTATACTTTCTTCTTCTGTTCTGTGCATGAATGTTTTGTAGACACGAGATCTCTCAAAAGAACAACAAGCACTCACCAAATTAACAACTCACCGAAACCCCGTGGAGCCAAGCAACTTCGCTGTCGCACTTGCATCCTCCACGCACACCTGGCGGAAATCGATGAAATAGGCCAACACCGGTTCTTCAAGTCGAGCATCTACAGTGGTTTCTAAGAGAGATGGCACTGGCACCCCAGTCGATGACTTTTAGATAAGGGTCCATATAAACCACCCAACTTGCTGACTGTGCCATCGAACCTCTCAATCCACTAATGGATCTCGCCTTACCAACCGGACGTGACGGGGGTCTCATTCTGCTCATGCGGCATTTGCCGAGGTCGAGCTGCAGCCAACATAATTTCAATTGCATTCAGATTCATCATGGTGTCTACAGGCTGAAGAAATGCTGCATATATATATAGCAAATATACCGGTCTAGTAGCGAAGAAAACAGTTCTCCACATGCAGCAGGATCACCGCATTTCATCCACTCATTGGACATGATGTTCTCCCCCCAAACGCCGTTCGTCACTCCAGCCGGTCGTCTACGTTCGTCTCCGGTGGTCCCGGTCCACCTCCATCCTTCCAAGCACCCGCTTCACCTGGGCGGTTTGTATGGTGGTGAGGTCGCCGGGAGGTCGCCAGACTGGTACTGCAGAGTAGCGAGCAGCTCAACCAAAGGCCGAGAAAATGCTGAGGACTAATCCTAAATACATTCAAATACTCATGGTTTTGGGACTATGTTTCCATGATTCATGATGTTTTATGATGTATGTTTCATGGTGCGGGTATGAGAGTTGGACAAAAACAGGGAACATGAAACCATGGATGAATCCGATGGAAACAACGCAAACGACAACCTTCCGACGCAAAGCCAATTGGGCCTGTGACCGGGTCTCCAGGATCCATAATCAAAGCCCAGTGATCATCTGCCGCTGTCAGCATGAACCATGATGAACCCCTGTCCCACCTGAAATGGTGAGAACGTGGGAGGATTCTTGCGTGATTCCCAGCGATTCTTTTCCACTCATGGATCATCATAGATTCACAAAAGTGGATCCACCAGCTTCCCATTCCGCAAGGGAGCCCGCACCAGGCGCGACAAGGTCTCAATGCCCTCCTCCGAGTACCTCCCCGGTTGAGACTGACTGGCCCGGTTGAGACCGCTGGACCCGCACGCGAGCTGTGTTCGTTCGCGTTTTTGTGAACCTGTGCTTCTCAAACCATCCATAATCAGTTTCTGTTTATGTTTTTTTTTTTCCCTGGTTGGTAGGGAGGATTCGTTTGTAGTACATGCATGGTAAATGCAGTGACAGCCAGGGGTTCCGACAGCAAAAACCATGGAAAATAAAGTCGTGGAACCAATTGCGAGCATAGCAACAATGATGGTGGTGTGAAGGCATGGTTTGTTGGACAAAACAGGCCAAACCTTACCTGCTCTGTACATGTCTTGCCAAACCCACTTGCACAGGTCTAGGGAATGCCAAGTGGAAACCACTGGGTCTTGGCAAAACATGCGAACTACGCGGTACTCTACACGGTGAACGACGCACCTGACACACCGGTTCGTGACGTCAATCCTCTTCCTTCTCGGAGGTCAGTCAATCCTACGACGCTCAAAGTTTGGCTTTAAAACGAGTGTGGCCAGCCTGGTCAAATGTACTTGTAGCTGGACCCTGCAGCAAGCTGCATCCTCTGGCCAAGAGTTACCCATCATAAACTGGGACTTTGCTTAAGGAACCAACTTTTTCCAGGCAGGGCATCCACACAGGAAAACCCGATCTTCCCGGTCTAAGCTGTTTGGGTTCCGAATCCATCCGATGAATCCTTCGGGGCACATCCCTCCTTGCGCCATCGTCGTCACAAAACAGATCCTCCGTGGACGCACCGGCTTTCTTCGGTCCGTGGTGCATCTGCAAAAAATCCTGCACAGCGGCCGGGTTAGAGGAGAAGAAACGCGCAGTGTACCCGGTGTACCCCTTAAAAAGAAACCCAGCAACATCAGTTTTTAAGATTCTGTCTTTAGTACTTTTAGAGCAGGTCTTCAGAGCAAAAACCAGACGCAAGGTCATTGTTCCATACATGAAATTAGGTGAAGATCAGTTGCGCGCGCTTTTTTTCCCCAAAACCTTGTGGATTCCTGTTGGGTGGGGGGACTTACTTCTCCGGGACGCTTCCGCGGTCACCGCGCGAGATGTCCGGGTGGACTGCGCTCATCGGGCGAGGGTGCCTGGCAAAGGGATCGCAATCGGAAGGTTCAGAGGTGGGACGAGTAGGGCGTGCGGCTTGACTATATATAACTAGTCGTTGACAAACGTTCGCATCAGTCGACACACGTATACCCCAATCAAGTGGTGGTACGTACTTTGGGCGGGGTGAGGGTCAAAAAGTCCAACGACGGTCCAATTCAACTGCTTAGCCACCCCACATGTATTTCATTGTGGACCAAGGCTACTGGGATGCTACTGGGTACAAGCTGCATGTAAATGCCATGGACCAAATAGTCATCGCACATGGAGAGACTGAGGCTCGGACTCCCTTAGACAGTTTTTAACATCCTGGTTTCACAACATCAGGGTTTGACCCGTGCTTTTTCTCGCTTCATGGGGCGATGCCCCTCCTTTCCGTGAAACGAGGTTCGATGGTTTTTACGCCAGCACACAGCCTGGCCGATGCGACTGCTGTCTGGTGTGTAGCCTGTGTAGCCACTTGCTTACGCGGCTTCTTGGCGTTCCGCTCCTCGTTGGAAGTTCAGCCTGCTGGCACACCAGGACAGCAGGAGGCTGGGCAAGAGCCAAATGCCGGACCACAGAGCTGCCCCAGGCAGGAGGCCTGCAGAAACGACCATCAGCTCCAAAGTGCTGTGAATCATCAGCTGCATGACCAGAAAGGCTAGGACCCCCGCTAGGCGCTTGAAAGTACAATAAGAGGCCGGGAAGGCATATCTCAAAGATCTCACAGTAAGGAGAACCACCGCAATGCACATTGGCGTGAAAATCACGAGGCCACAGGAACCAATGATGCCTGCAGCCTTGGATGCTTGGGCTGAATTCACAGGGCATGAAGCAAAGAACACAGACCATCACGCAATTCCGCTCCCGTTCGCCCTCGTGGCGTGAAACCGTTCGCCCTTGTGGCGTGAAACCGTTCGATTGCGCCCTCGCGCTTTCAGCTGCCGCACTTGAGAGGGGGAACCAAAGTAAAGACTTCATCTGAACACAACTGAACTGGATTGGCTTAAGGGCCGGCCTGGGACGACATGTGTTCTAGAGATGACCCCCTAAACGTCCAAAAATTGACCTCAAAAACCACTCCTGGCAGCAAGAGCACCCTCAGCATCACCTTGGCGTAACCTGGCGCTCGCTTTGTCCATCTGAGCCCAAAGGAGCGGTAAATTTCCCACCATCGACAAGTGGTAGAGGTACAATGCACTCCCCAACCTGGGGCTTCAGGGATCAACAGAACCATGCACCCAAAGGCAAGGTATATTGATCCCTAGGACTCCAAGTACCTTCTGAGAAGGTGTTTGGGGTGGCTTTGGAGGGTCCAAATACCTTCTTGCCCTAGAGAACAAGAAATGGCAACACACCCTTGCCGATGTCCACATGGGACTTTGGACAAGCAAATGTTCGGTGTGGATTTCGTAAAGTGTGGAAAAAACGGGACACATCAGAAATTGCCTGCTTGCACCTATGGAACTGATGTGTCAAAGCCTTCCTCACCCTGTTCTGCACATTCTTCTCGAATTCCTGGATGGAGCTGAACCAATGCTGAAGGCATTGCAGAATGACTTTGCGATCACACTGCAGTTCTCCACCATTCACCTGGTGACCCACAAAGCAACAATAGCACTGAGCATTTGCAACCTTGAATGTCATCAACTGTTGCTCCGCGGTAGTCACACTCTCGGAGAAGTGCACCACAGCTGTACCAGCTAGCCATGCATAAGCACACAATCCCAGAATATACATATAAACGGTGAAATGGCTCTCATAGGGGAGCACCAAGTCAACGCACATGGCCATCGTATTCACTAGATTGCATGCAAGAACAAAGGAAGCCATATAGAGCGGCTGGACGAGCAAGCCACCCAGCGAATGGGTCTTGAGAAATGCAGCCATTTCAAAAATGCACCACAGCCTGCTAAGCGTCGGATATTCGGAGTGGAATGCTGGGAAGGGAAGTGCGTCGTGTATTACGTGTATTGAACCCCTGTTCACATCCGTTGTCTGTCCATCCAAGTCGGAACAAGGTGTGCAAAATGCTCTAGGAGTTGGTCCAGTTACTTTTGGAACCACTGGTTGCTATAGTGACAACTCTACATGTATAGTGGAAAATCCTATTCACCGTGTGTGCTTGCGACGGTCATGTGACGTTTGTCTTGGCTGCACCGGAAGCCCTGAAAGGAGTTGGAGGGAAAGCCTGGACCAATGCTCCATCACTCACGTGGTTCCATAGTTCCAATTAGCTCCTTTTCCAGTCTTAGCCATATCATCATCCACTACCATACTAATGAGTCCTGGTGTATGGTTCATATTGTTTCCAAAAGGGCCATAGGTTTCCATGAGGACATCCCCCAACCTCACGAATACTGTTTCGCCTGCGGCAATAGGTCTGATCCCAGATGACCAACAACTTCTTGGAGTGCTTGCGGCAAGCACACATGTTGATGAGCCCCTCCATTTTCTCTGCGTCATCGACCTGATTCACGCAGCATCGATCCAGAAAAACTCCCTCACGAGGACGGCGAAGAAGCAAGACAGAGACATAGCTGATCAGCCCCAGCGACAAGCTCCAAGCTCCTTGAAAGGTGGGTTCTGTGCTGAAACGCTGCACTCGGGTAAAACCTGGCAGCAAGTCATACGTGAAAAGTATCATAGCGACACAAGCCACAAGGTTTCCAATGAGCACAGCAGCAACCCAGTTGTAATATACAAGCAAGGTCCATATTTTGGACCACGCGGATGCTTGCCAACTATGCGAAATGAATTTGCTGATCTCTGCCACGGCTTGGCTGTGCCTAAAATGATCACCATGACTCCTTCGCAAGGGCCTTCCAGCACACTCGACCACACGATATGCTGGCGTTGCCCGCAGGAACCTTTCATCTGTCAATTTGATCTGTGAGAGCCAGTCCACCAAATCATCGGTTCTTTCCTTGTCCTCAGAAGGCACGAGAAAGTTTCAAAACCCAATACAGTACATATATATAGATAATTGCAGTACATGTAACATCATGTATGTATATATAACTGTAGTATAACTATAATATACAACACGTCAGCCTGACAAAGTGCAAAATGCTGGAGGTATCTGGAGGTGGTAGAGCTCACAAGATGATGCTCCAACAAAATGAGGGACAATCTATGACAATATCCACAAAAATCTACACGCCGCGGACCGCGGAGGACTCTTTCCGCCTTTCCACGTGGTGCTTTGCCCAACATCGTCCGTGGATGTCGTTGGGAATGAGCTGGGTATCCAGCGGTTCTTGCAAGGCGATTCCCTCGTGAACCTGTGTTACCGTCTCTTGCCATGCAGTATCAGTATGAATGCCCAGCCTGAAGGCCCGTATTCTGCCACAAAATCATGGAGGTCAAACATTTGTCAAACCATCTGAGTCCGCACGTGCATTAGCGTGGATACACATTGTAAATATATGCAAGGCTTCAAACATGCTATATAATATATGTTCCCAAAGGATATCCACACTTGAGATATTACGTCAATCAATTCAATTCTGCTAAAGTTACTGGGCCTGACGAGTTTCGTCAAAAAGGTCGGAACTGTTGCGAGCCAGGATGTCCCTTTCCTCAGGTACAGGTGCTTCACATTCGTGCTCCAACTGCTCTAGCTCTGCCACCATGGCGGGAAGAACTACTATGAACTGATGTGGTAAGTGAGTTTTCCCCTCGACTCCGTAGTAAAGTGTGGTAGGGATTTGATCTCTGGCATTGCAATGTCATCCTCCAGGAATCTTGCTGTAGCACCACTCTTCAATGAACCTCTTGACAGATGTCCCAAACAATATCATTGTCTGATTCCTCTCCTGCACTTCTGAGGGTGAGGTGGATATCCATAGAACTCATGAACATTCAGAATTCACATCCCTGGCAGCCCTGGCGGCTGATTTTCTGCTCAGTTCCGCGAAAAGCTGAGGCATCAAAGATCGCAGGGTTTCACGGTCCGCCCCTTGCATCAACACATGTCCTTACTCCGAAAAGGGATGGTCAACGGATTCCTCTACATCTTTACCCCAGCTAAGGGCTCCAGTCGTACCTTCGTTTCGAGAGAGGGACTGGGGATGACTGGGTGGGTGCCAGGAGGGTTCATACCTTCGTTCCGGAGGCACGACTGGAGCCCCGCACACCCAATACCCCGATGATGCGAAATCCGCTCAGTCCATGATACAGAAAGAATGTGATCACACCCTAGCACTCCAACCATATCCACCCCCCTGGCACCCACTCCAACCACTTTCTCAGGAGGTAGTTGGAGCCCCAGGAACATACGACTATTGCTCCGAAGTCCCACTTGAGACTCGCTGTGGCAGGCACTTCCCAGCCTTCCCTCCGAACTGGCCTTCCAGTGATCCGCCTGGGCGAAAACGAGGTGCAAGCCACTGATGTACACCTGCCAGCGGGTTTTTGCTCACCCCCAGGTGGAGCAGGTCCTTTGATAAGGGCAAAACTGAATGTAATTGTTTTTTGGTACACTCTGACTCGCTAACGAAGTGGAAAGCCCACTGTTGGTAAAGGAAAGTAGTCTTCCAAGGGACCATGCCATCCACTTCCATGTGATGTGTTCGTCAGAGTGTAAAGCCCACCCTTGCGAGAACGGCGCAAGGGGCATGGATGTTGTGCGTCGGAGGTTCGATCGAACCTCTCAGTGTGAGGTTCTAAGGTCAACCACGCCGATTCCTTTTCTGGATTGCTGGATCCTTGTCCGGCCTGGTTTTTCGTCATGCGACCATGGCCAGTTTAGGTCTACAGTGGTTCCTATATATACCGCAGCCATTAGTCGCATGTTGCCTCCTTCTGGGAACCAGCTACTGTTGGAGTTTTCTGTCTCCTCAGTGGCAAGCCCCAAGATGGATACTGAAGAGACACGTGATGACACGTGAAATCCTAGTTGAAAGGTACACCTTGGAAGACTAACATGGACCCTGAAAACCACTGGTCTATGTTAGTTTTCGGGAGTGTATATTGAGAATGGTTAGAGCCGGATTCGGAAACTAATCGGTCGGATTCTGAAACTAGGGTTCTGAAACTGGGGTTCTGAAACTAGGGTTCTGAAACTTGGATTCTGAAACTGGTAGTTTGAAACTGGTGTTCTGAAACTTGGATTCTGAAACTGGGGTTCTGAAACTAGGATTCTGAAACTGGGATTCTGAAACTTGTGTTCTGAAACTGGAAAGTCAGATTCTGCAACTGGTATTCTGCAACTGGAAAGTCAGATTCTGCAACTGGTATTCTGAAACTGGAAAGTCAGATTCTGCAACTTGCCTTCTGAAACTTGCAACTGGGGTGATCTCCACATCATGCGATAGCGTGTGTGCCTGTGACATCACCTTCGAAGCACATCCAAACCAACGTCCTTAGCCCCCCACCCAACCCCCCACCCCCAACCCCCCCTTGTCCCCATCGTGTGATCTCGACATCCCTCATCGAAATTCACAAAGTTGCGGAATCCTAGTGAGGGAGTCCACAACACAATGTTGCGGAATCCTAGTTGCGGAACGCCAGTTGCGGAATCCCAGTTGCAGAATCCTAGTTGCGGAATCTTGACAGTTGCGGAATCCTAGTTTCGGAATCCTAGTTGCGGAATCCTAGTTGCGGAATTCTAGTTGCGGAATCCTAGTTGTGGAATCCTAGTTTCGGAATCTCAGTTGCGGAATCCCAGTTGCGGAATCCGACCAAACAGTTGCGGAATCCTAGTTGCGGAACTCGACTTTATCCTATTGAGAATGTATGTAATCCCGAGTACCTATTTAAAAACGGACCCCTATTAGAAAAAAGTCATGTCGGAAGCCCCTAAATACGGTTTATATTAGTTTTTAAATTACCGCCCTTTCAAGCCGCTACTAAACTACCAACATTGCCGACTTTGGAGGAGTTTTTTTAATTAGGTTCCAAAAACAACCGTAACTGCCCACCTCTGTCCGCCCTGTCTATCCACCATGACACGCCGCGCTTACACCAGCAGGCTTTCCTTCCCCCAATGGCACGGACTCACGCAAACGCACTTGCCACCGAGGTCATGCAACACCGTATGGCACAGCGACATCACCTTTCGAAAGCTTTAGCTGTTAGTCTACTGAAGAATCACTATTCTAATGAAAGTTTTTGTAGGGGAAAAGGAAGACCCTTCGATCTGGAGCTTTTTTGCATTTTTGATACGAGTGTAATAAAGGATTCATATAAAATTTTACTGATTTACTTTTTGGTTTTGAAGCTCTTCTCAGGTGACCCTATTTTGGACCCCCCGATTTCAGGGACCCCCTATTAGAAAAAATGCGACCGAGGTTTCCTTATTAGGGGGGGGTTCGTGTTTTTTATTAGGTGGACCGGATTATATGTATGGGCAATCATGTTGATCGAAGAAGGCTTCCCAATCTCTGCACCCAATGGGTGCATGGCATACACGAACATCGGCTGAACACGAGAAGAACGTCATCCAAGCTGTGCTTCTTCTCGTGTCACCCAAAACTGACTCCACCTACAAGGACCGAAAACGGCGGGAGCCTTGCAATGGTCACTGACCAATCGTCTCCAGGGAACCACCATTTTCACCTGGGAGGCTCCGAAACGCGACCGTCGGGGAAGCATCCGAGCGTCTGGCCGAGCGTCTGGCCGAGCGTCTACCCCCGGTGGCCAGTGGTGCGACGAAACTGAACGCACTTTCCAAACTCAGCAGCCACTCAGCTTAAAACGGGTTGCGAAAAAATCAGAACTGTTCTGCACTGTTGTGAGCAAACCATTGCAGGAATCATTATTAGAGGGTGTCCAGTTTATCAAGCTATATTTAATGAAATTTACACCGCTACTTGAAGCTGCACGTGATTCAACACGTCGGTCTCCACAACTGAATAGGCAAAACCATCTTGATATCCTAATTGGAGATTATGGGAAAGCCTATATAGCTCGAAGCAAACCCTTGTGTTTCACAACGCAACTCGTGGGGTCGCCAATCTCATTTTGAGATATTGTCCAGGTCCAGGTCGGATCATCCTGATTTCTCAATCACACCGTGTCGCCAGGTCTTAGGGCGCAGCACTGGTCTTGTTTCAGACTGGTGCATGACTTAGTCATCCGATACCAACTCTTCACGCCATGGGCCATAACCAACTCCTGAAAAGCGGACCCAACATGCTCAGTTCTCTGGGTTTCCATCGTGGCCCTTGTGGCAAGTCGGACAACCCACAGGTGAACATTGTATGCAAATTCCTCTCTGACTCTAAGGGCGCCCAAAACAAATACCTAAGCCGAGCCGTTCCGCGCACAGGTGATCGTCCACTTGGACCGCCCCATAGGATACCCATTAAGTCGACAAAAGACACATGAAAAAGAACCAAACTCGGCCAGAACTGAACCAACTGGACCTCGCGCGTTGACAATGATACATAATACAGTCGCTGCACCTCGCAACCGCGCGCGGCGCGCGCGCGCGCGCCAAAAAACTCAGGTGGGCCCGGCGCAGCCGAGGTTGGCCGCCGTGCAAGAAAGGCCCAAGGCATTGAGGGAAGAGACCTCATCATGGCCATAGTGCGAGTCTCCGAAAAATGACCAAGGATGAGAGGGACGGTCTGAACTCAGCGCCCAAGTGTCCACTTCCCCTGAAGATTCAATTAAAAATAAGCATAAATATATTGAAACCACAATACATACTGTAATTTACTGTACAGTAGACGGTTGATTGATTTGTGAAAACATTGGATTCTCAACCTCTTCATCTGGATGGCTTTCCTAATCAACAGTCAACAGTCTACATGAAGTTGCCCAAAGTTGTTTGTACTTCTGACCCTCCAAGACTGGAAAGCCAAGTGAGCCGCCCTTTTTGTGAGAAGTGAGCGGCAGCTTTTCACGCTTTCCCCGTGGAAAACAGCATGATCTTGTCATCATCCTGGTGCAGTTTGCTGAACCACACAACACTAGGATTTCCACTGCATATGCAGCACTCTCAGGGGCATGCAGTGCGTACCCTCTCAGGGTCCCGAATGCGTTCAGCTTCGGGCATCGATGATTTCAAAGCAACACTAACCTGCCCTGCATGAATAGGGGCGTTGGAGGTAGGGCTCCACCAATGACCCCTTGTGCTGCAAAGAAAACATGCAAAGAGACCGGCCTGTGGCATATGAGAACGGGCAACCACCCAACCAACACAAGACAAAAGAATGCTTCTGGGATGGGTAGGGTTCTGGCTTCCATCGGCTTCTCATGCCCCACTTCATCCAAAATCCCCTCACTGGCCAACAAACAGAGTTCACCACAAGGTGACACAAGTGTTACCCAGACGCTCCATGTATGCCATATATGCCTACATTGACCCCCAAAACCACCCCAATGTAGGCATATGTGGCATACATGGAGCGTCTGGACTTTGCTTAGCTCACATCCTCCGAAGTTGCAATCACCTGGGGCAGCCAGGCATCTAATTCCAGGCCTTTCAGCTGCACTTGGCCTGACCAAAGCTGTACCTCAGTCGAGTTTGGCCATAAACACCCAGCAAACAAGTCTTGGTGATTGGATGTGTGTATGCACAGTCCAGATCAGGAATTGGGGAGCTCACCTTCACCAACAGGATCCAACAGCGTGGTGGCTGGTGGTTTTTTGATAAGTTCTTTCAGGCGTGCTCTACTTGTCCAACAAAACATCTGTCCTCTGTCCCGTTCGTCAGAATGAACTAAATCCGCATCATCCAGTTCCGATCTGGTGGGGATGGCCCAGCATCACATCTGAAGAGTGTGCCTGAACTCACCGTAGCGGTGCCTACCGACTCTTGTCCCGTTCAACGGTACTTCGCCTCGGGACCTTGTCATACCTGGTCCCAACAAACGAATGGTCGCATCATGTCGCATCTTTTGCCAATGAGAGTGCACATTTGGGTTGATGTTGGGAGAGACAAGTTCATCAATCAGGGTCAGGGTGGGGGCTGCCATGTTGAAATTGTTAATTCTACGTATTTGATGAACAGTTGACATCCAGAATGTACCTGGCAGGACAGGACTTGGAGCGCTTGAACCATTTGGCCGCAGTCAGGTGCTTTTCGCTTGTCATTCCACAACCAGAAATCTGTTTTATGTGTTTCCTTTTGGTCATGGCTGTGTGGAGCCACCGCCATGGTGGTTTCGACTCTCGGTGGTTTCGACTCAGGGGCGCTGAAGATGATCCTCGCCATGGATCTGCTTGGACGAGTGAGCCAGGCCATGGTCTTTTGGGACGAGTGAGCTAGACCCACGGCCATCATCACTGGTCAGGCCCTGAACACCGAGCTGATCCACAGCGCACTTCGAGCTGATCGAGGTCGATATCTCGCCTCATCCACAGCGTGCGCGAGGAACACCGGAATCTTGGAGTGGAACTGCTCAAACGCTGGATGTTTTCTTGCGAAACCTCCCCGAGATCTGAATCTGTCTATCTGTCCACTTGACTCACCATGTCATGACTGCCCTGTTCTACCTGCTACAGGCTTCGCGTGGTCCGATAGTTTATCCTGATTTATCCTGTAACATCCAGAGGTGACGTGCGAGAATTCCTTGACACAGAACAGGTCTCAAACATCTACAAAACACGATCGCACCTACCACCTAGCATGGCTTGCTGCGGCATGCTGTACTCACGAAAGTAGGGCTCCGACTTCAGAAAACTGCCGATCACACGCTTCAGGAGGTACTTGTAGAACCTGCCGTCCAAGATGCGCTAGGATTCCGCGTGGAAGTGCCCAAATATTCCAAACCCTCTGTCACACCCCGTTGGTCACCCTATGAACATTCATGAACCCATTTTTGGTCACAGTGATCTCTGGGATCCGTCCATGCTTATTAGGGATCGAGAAATCGATCGATGTCTAATCAGATTCCAGGTGCCTCACCGGACCCAGTACCGACGGCCCAGCGGCACCTCTTGAGCGGGGCAGATGCCAGGGCCATCGATCCTGGCGAGACCGGCCCGTTCGCGCGGCACCGCGCACCGAGAAAGGTCGCTTGGACTGCAGGGGTCGTGGTCGTTGTAGGTCGACGAACAGGAGGGACTGCAGGGGTCCTGACTTTGTTTCCCCCCCTTGGCAGGCGCAATGGATTTGCAAAAGTAGTGCAACATAGTGCAGCGCTGGAAAGGTTGGGGGTAGGCGCAGCGCCGTCGTCCGGCGCGTTCATCTCTCCCCCAAAGGCGATCACCATTGCTAGATCAATGGAGGGCATCCAGAAAGTGAGACAAGGACCAAGGCAACCGCAAAAAAAGCAGAGCACCCTCTTCAGCAAGGAAACCGAACGCTCGTTACTTTGCAAAGTTCGACGCACAATTCCATTCTCGCACTTTCCAACCAATGGACGAGGCCAGATCGGCCCCTCGGAACCCATCGCTCTCGTGGCCAGTTTCGCGAACACACCGGGCGAACACACCGGCCTTGGGCTTCTTAGCCCAGCCAAGCGAGTCCATACATGAGGAGATTGGGTATAAAGAGTCCGTGTGGACTCAGTGTTTTTCGCATCGGTTTGTGCCCATCCCACGTGGATTTCGCGTGGATGTCCATCTTTTCTTTTTCAGGCAGGTCTGATGCTCTTTCCCATGGGCTGCTATAGCGTGGCTGTGTGTGTGTGAAAAGAACGTATATGTCATAGCCTTCTTTCTTTCTTGCTTGTATGCATGCTTGCTTGATTGTATTGGTCAATTGCAAGTCGCTACCATATTGAGAAAACACCGCTCCGGACATGTCCGCTGAAGCACCACACCCCGACAGCTTCACCCAGACCTTGAGCCGACCCGCCGTTCGCACGGCGACCGAGGTCCATGTAGCGAAAGCGATCTCCGTGATGCTCGGCATAAAGAACAACATGATTCACGTGATAAACCACTCAGCCATATACAATTATCAAACCAACATATATAAGGAAGTGCATTACATGTCATGTGAGGGTCCACATCGAAGCAACAACAAAAATCAGCCAAAATAAACCCAAGCAAGTCTGGGAACCGCTTTGCCGCTCTCTGGCCGGACCATTCTCGTTGCTTCACAGGCACTCTTGTTGCGATGCACACGGTTCGTGTGGATCATGATCGCATCCTTGTAACCATGCTTTTGACGCAACGACCTACCATAGTTTAGAGAACAAACATCAAAACTGCCGGTTGGAAAAACAAGACAGAAAAACAATGAAAAACACTGCCTTCTAGTATAACCGAGTGTAACCTTTGCTAGTCGCTTTTCAGCAGGTCAGTCAAGGCATGGTCAGTCCTTGTATCATATCTTAGATCAAAATCCCCTACGCCAAGAAAATGATGGGCTTTATCCGTGCAAAACCAAGAAAACAGCATCAACCCCAAATTGAGGTCCAGTTGGCCCTAGCGAACACTGGATGCCATTCAGCAAGTCATCCATTAAGTTACCCCAGAATTCCAAAGCTCTCAAGAAGCGCCATGTGCAATGGGTCACACCTGGCTAGCTCACCATCTATGGGGGGTGCCCCATTGCCATCACTGAAGAACATGGGCCCCCAACTACCTCCACCGAGCGAGGTAGTTGACGTCATTAACAGTGCTTTCACGATTCGTGCAGGGACCAAACACCTTAAACACCGACTCAGTCGACTCAGTTGACGGCCCGGTGGTGACGGGTTTCTGGCCCGCTGGAGAGAAAGGATTTGAGACTTTGAGATTTGCCTTTTTGCTGTGCCTGTTCGGAGACAACTGGGAGGTCTCTCGTCATTCTGTGCCTCGTCCTATCCGACTTTTACTGATTCTGGCACGAGGTTGAACAGGTGAAGCATCTGGGCATGTGCATCATGGGTCAGTTCATGCAGCCAAAACAACAAAAGTTCCCTTGTAGATCTTGTAATTGTAGGCAGTTTGGTTCAAGCTTGGGGGGGCTGCACTTGAGTTGCACTTGGAAAGTGCCATGCAAACGTGTGAAAGTGAACGTCGTGAAAAACATTGAAAAACATATGCCACTTAACATGCAAAAAGTCAGCCCATGTTTATCCAAGACTATTATGGTGCCCAGTGTTCGGCTTCAACGTTTCAGGTTTGATGACCGCTCCGTGGTGTCAATGTGCCTTTGCTTTGCTTTGCTTTGCTTCGGGTGGCAAAACCCAAGGCATCTCAGCAGGGCACGCCGATCTGAAGGGCCTTAGCCGCAACAATGCCACAAAACCTGGGCGACACACACACACATGTCCTAGAGAATTCCGCTCTGGCTCACCAGCATGTAGAAGCTGCCAAACTCACAACAAGCACCTCAAAGTAGCCGGAAAAAAAGCCTCGAACTAATCAAACTAACCCTTTTACTAAACAAACACAACATTAAATAACATTTTTTTAAAAAAAGAAAAACATAAAGCAACAACAACAACAACAACATGTCCTCGATGGAGGCCAGTGGTTGGCTGATGTTGGCTGGGAAGGTGCACCTTGCACTGAAACAATGGACCATGGAAGGAGGAGTTTCCCCTTCTGGCCTTGCCAAGGCCATGGTCCACTTTCATGTTGGAGTGCAGTCTGCTGGAGTGTAGCCCTACAAATGAAGATGTACCCAAATCAAAAAATGGTCCCACACAAAAACAATGGCAACAGCCTCACCCTCCCATCCTCCAACCATGTCAGTCTTCCCGTGATGATTTTCTTCATCTTTTTCTTCGGCGCATTAGGCAGCGGTGAAAGCGACAAAGCGGCGTCTCCTGGACCAGTGGTGATCCCGCCGATGAAAGGGGTGTCCAAACTGAAAAGCCGCTGGCTAAGCCACTGATTGGTGTTCCAGTAATAAATAATTGTGTATATATAGATAAATTACTACAACATCAGAAAACATTAACTATATGTCGTAGCATTGTGTAGCACATATGTTGCGTAGTGTCTGCTTCAGGTACAGCGCCACGACACATCTCAGTGGCACCTCCAGTCCGCTCCAAGGCTTCGGTGCAGCAAACCACCCCGTCCGACCGGTCACCGAAACGGGTACGACTGGAGCTGGACTGGGTTGGACGGGACTTAGGGACCTCCTCGAACGGTCGGTGTTCGCCTCGCCGTCGAGGTCTGCTCAGGTTCCCAGGACGATGCAGGAGAGCCCGAAAGCCTGGACCTGAGCTCGGTGGAGGCGTGGACATGGCGAGGTGGAACGACCAGGGTTCCGAGTTGGAACGACGGTCCACCTACATCGGCAGCTCCTGCCATCTTCCCGGTGTTTACTCTTTGGGCTGTATACTGTTTGATGCATTGAAAGGAAGTCGACCGTCTAACGAACTGTTCCGAAGGGCTCGTGGAACATTGAGATGGTCACCACACATGTTTAGAAGGATCTACTTCCCGGTACCCTCAGAAACTGAAGGTAGCTATCCTCTGCTCACTTGCTGTCGAACTCGGAGCAAGCGTGGTACGAATGGCAGCCAAGCGGCCACACAGGAAGCTGCAAACCAGCGTAGCTGCGTGGTATCCTGGCCAAGCATGGCCAAGCTGGGCTTTCTGTTGTGAATGGCAAGTAGAAGAGTGTTTTTGCTCACAGGGGAACGAAATGAGCCCTTCCCAATGGACAAACAATTTTGCACCGACTATGCCGTTGGTTCTTCTTAGGCCTTCAACACCCAGGCCAGCTTCAAGAAAAGCATCCCAAGGGCGCATAAATGCACAATTTTCCCTCTGACCGTTGGGCAGTCGTCTCTCTCCGAGAAAAAACAACACGAATCCCCAAGTCCAAACGCAAGGTGCGCATCCACAAAAAGCATAATATCCAAAATGCTTCACAGTCACAAGGGCCACTATGCACCAGTCACTCAGCCAGGCTGTTTTAGGAGCAGTCACTCACCTAACTTGGTACTTAGTCACCCAACTGCATCGACCAGCATACACGACACGCAAACGACTGCAGCCTGGATCTCCTTGAAGATGAAGACTGAGATCAGCTGTGACACCAGCACAGGGCCTTGCTGGCAGGGCACCGCAAATCGTTCAACTAGGACCTGGACATACCTGGACCGTTTCAGAAGACATCCAACCGCTTGGTCACCTGGGGGGTCTTGTGTCTTGTGGCCGAATGTACTCAAACGCTCCATGTATGCAAATATGACCTGCAATTGGTGGTTTGGGCTGGTGAATGTAGGTCATATTTGCTTCCATGCAGCGTTTGGGTGCATAGTCCTGTAGTCCCTCGACTACCTGTCACGGCTATACTCTTTGTTGAACCCTACGGCTCCAACCACATCCTCAATTGGACTGAACCACGGCACCCGCCCGCTTCTCAACCCTTCTCATCCGCCCTTTTAGGTCCCGCCGGCTCCGCCCTCCAGCTGAGGAACCAATGACACTGAGCATGTAGGTGGCCGTATAGCCGATATCGTCCAGCCTCGGTTTTCAAAACCTGGCGACCTAGGGTAAAACCGCAAGTCCCACATGGTAAGTATCTCCAATGATCATTTCACTTATTATAAGTATCAAACGAGTCGTCGCCTTGGCTCAGTGTAGACCCCTTTACATCCCTTGACCCTTGATTCATGAATTATGAACAGCAAGTTTTGAAGAGCAGCTTTTACCATCCAAATGGGAGAGGTTTTACCAAATCTCTAAGAGCTATACCTTAAACAGTCGAAACGCTGATGCCCTCTACCTCCCATAGTCCAATCGCAGTGGATGGCGCCACCTCATGTACCTGTTGAACCCCTTCCAAAGCGGTTCTTCCTGAAACGCGCCCAGCGGCGACTTGGCAAAGCACGCAAAGCCCAGCGCCCAGAAGCCTCGGCGTTGGGAGCTACAGGCCATGGCGCTGGAGCCCCAAACCCCTAGGGACTCCTTTCGAGGCACGGCCGGAGCCTATAGGCGCTATAGGGAAAGTCCCGAGAGGGTCTTGAAGCGAACGTGTCCCACAAACCTTTTGTTGTATGGCACAGTGTTCAACTATGTGTTAGCTGAGTTCATTGAAGTCTAATTTTCTTCTCACTCGAGTTTTTGGTCGGCGACCGCCCCAAGTTGGCCAATCCGTGTAATGATGTAGTTCATCTCCAGGTGTGGTAATTCAATTCAATATCATGTAATTAACTATGCATGTAAATATCAAGATTCAAGTTTGGCAAAATCAGCCCCCCCATCTTTCCATCAAAGGACCTTGAGGATGGACCCCGAATGGGAATGCACGGCCGATGCATGGACCATGTCGACTTGCCCCAAGGAACAGCCCGAGAGGAAGGCTGGACGGATGTTGGGCTTGGCCGGAGACCGCAGGTGTAGGACCTGCCGCTTCGCCGATTTGTGGACGATTTCTTTGAGGAAGGAGGCTGGATGGAGGGTGAATCAGGGTGTGACGATGAAAAAAACCGAGAGAGCTTGAGGAGAACTTTGAGTGGTACATCAAAAAATGGTGCAGATAGGCCTAACAAAAAGGGCTGTTCAACCTCCTGCAGGTGAAGTAGGAGGTTTACACCACCGTTTTCCGGTGCCAGGGCGCGACGGCACCGGCGAGGTCAATGCCAGCACGTCTTGTGACACTTGTTGTCTACCAGGACACCCTAAGGGGCTTCCATTGATAGCTCCTTAGAGGTTAAGGGGTGTCCATTAACCACCCCTTGTGTGTCCAGGTGTAATCTACTATTTACATTTTTATGATATAGGATACCGGATTGCACCGCTTTAAGTGCCGGATCTTTTCCATCAACAGTAGAAAGTCATCAAGTCTGCAGCAAATGGATCCTTCCAACACGTTGCAGCTAGTTTGGTGTTCTTTCCGTTTCAGTCCTGCAGAAAATGTATATTCTTTTGAAGGTGGCGGCAGCTACGAAGGATCCCCATCCTTCGGCCAAATGTGAACATTCCTGTCACCACTCCCCATTTTTCTCTCAAAGGGAGGTGGTCGTTGAGCTTGGGCGTGATGGTACAGGCGCACTGACGCGCGGAGTGAGAGGTTCAGGCGCTGGGGCAGCATAGACCCAGCCTCAGGTGACGCAAAATGCCATAGGTAGCGGCTAGTGTCCTGACAAAATGGTGTCTTTTGGTGGGGCCATGCTCCTATCAAGGCATCGGGAAGTTTAAACATATATGTTCAGATTCCCATGTTGACTTCTGGAAATCAGCAGGGCAAGAGCGAACAGCAAATGCAACAAAAACAACTTGATTTCAATCGACTGCCCTTGTAGCTCCTACCTTTTGGTTGGGGTGCCGTGGGGTCCAAATACCTTCTGAGGAGGCAGTGAGAGGAGCCCTAGGGTTGAGGAAATCTTATCTCACTCTGCTTAAGCAATTGATCCTTTTTCAGGCTGGAGGGTCTGCTTTGTGAACTTGATGTGACCTGCAAACCAGTGTCTGATCTGGCGACCTATCCAAGCCGCTTGAACAGCTTTGGGAGGGCAAATAGGCACAAAGCCTCATCAGGGCGAGCGGCTGGTGATGACTGGAGCATCGACCAATGGAAAACACTCCCCCAGGCCGGTGATCTTTGAGACCATCCAGGTAGGGTGGCTTTTATTATAGAATCACCAGTCAAGCGTCAACATGAATTTCTTGGGCACGGCCTTTAGCTGCTAGAAAAGAGCACTTGGGGATGACACACACATATCCTCAGCGGACGCAACACTTATATATTGAGAACCTATCCCAAACACTCCATGGGACGGCCATATATGCCGCCCCATTGACCCCCTAGCACCACCCCTGGCCGTTTCTCGGCAGTCCTATGGCAGTCCCATGGGTCGCGTTTGGGTAAGGCCCTATGGCTCCTGATGACCTTGAACTGCAGCCCCAAAGATAAGAGCTGCCAAGAGCGTATAAGCATCTGATGAGCATGTATAAGCAATCAAATGTACTCAGGGAGGTCATTTTAGCTCAGCCTCATTGTTCGGCACCACCGGTGATTCCTATCCCTCCTGCCCAGCGACTGCCGTGGATCTGTGCGCGGCGTCGTTTGTGGCGTCGTGCACGGTGCAGGTGGCGTGGGCGCAGAGGCTAAGGAAATGAACCTGGGGGCCAAGGCACATTGGAACTGAATATTTTTGGCTGAGTCTGTGCAAAAAGTGGCAAACTGCGCAGGTTGGGAAAACTTGCCTCGAATCTGTGGTACATTTTGGTACATATACAGCAGAGCAAAGAGTCCTGAGTAAGGTATATGCACCACTCTCACCAACGAGCAATCATGCATTACATCATAATGTTTTTTGGGGGGCTTGGCGAGTGAGTGAGGTCCAACCAGAATCCTTACCCCCTACCCACGCTGAACATCATCCAATGAGCCTGTGATTTGTTATGCTTTTGCCCTGTCTCGGAACCGGTGATCCAATCGCCGGGACCTAGGACCCCATCCCACCTGCCCATCCCGGCTAGGGCCCCCGAACCGGCAGGGGATCGTGCGGGGCGCTGCAGGGGACACGCTACTGGTCTTCGACCCGCTCCGCGAGGGGGGCGCTGCAGGCCCCGTCAGCGGCGAGCGCGGCGAGTGGGCGCCGCGGTGAGCGGCGGTGAAGCGGCGTTTTTTGAGCTCCTGGAGGAGTGGGAGGGATTCAGCAGTTCTGCAAGACGGTGGGAGGTTATGGGAGATGGTATTGGAGGCGCCTCGACATGTGACATGATGAACATGCTGTTCTCCTTTCAACCGGCGGAACGCCAACAGACCGACCATGACCGAGCGCTTCCGGGCTTCAGCTGCCGAAGTCGTGCGAAGTGATATGCTTTCATGATGCACCCTGAAAGAAGAATGCAACAGCTTCATGCTCCTGCAATCTCCTGCACATGTTTATGATTTATGAATGTTCAAATATGTTCATTGATCTTCACTGTGCCAAAAGCACCAGTACTCACTCTCACCATGTCGGCGCCTGTCCTCGATTTCAGCCTGTTGCCGTTCCACTTCTCGCTCAAGGAAGGCATTTTCCACCGCTACCTTGGTTGGTGGCCCAGCAAATTGCAAGCTATGACTATGAACTACAAGGATATCCAGCCACAAAACTGTAAAGCATCCGGGAGAAAAAGAACAACACATATCAATAAACATAGCCATAGCCATAGCAAATTGACCCCAGGCCCCTGCGTGGTATTCCGCATGATTCCGCTACGTCTCCCATTGTCTGTCAGATTTTCCACATTCATCTCAATCCCACACTCATCCCACCACATCTGCCAGGCCACAGCATGGAGAGCCTCCTCTCTGGTCAATGCGTCCCCGATCGTCGGCGGTCTCACCAAGCACCGTGCAGCGTCGCGACCCACCGCGTGGGAGCTGTGGTCGCCCTCCAAAGGTCCGCCTTCGATGCCCCAGTTGTTCTCCTCCTTGGTCGACGGAGGGTTCCAGTGGAACTGACTGCGGTGGGGCTCTGGTGGGTGGAAGGGAAGCACTTGGAGCTCTACAGGACTCTATAGGATAGAACACTACATTCCGAAAGACCACATGTTGGTTACTCGAAAAGCTTACGGATGGCCCATGCCACGGCCCAAAGACCGTTGATAAGGACCACTGCAGGATGAGAGTAAATAAAAAATGATCAAATGATATCAGCTGCTCTTTTGTTTCAGGTCTGAGTGAAACAGTAACGACATGTAACGAAGGTCGAAGCTCCATTAATGATAGTTCCATGGGCACAGGCTTGGTATTGTCGCCGCTCAAGAATGTAGACTCTTGATTAAACCCACCCATTTGAATTAGACTCGACATCCTCTTCATATGTGGGGTGTATTTGATATTTCAATATATTTCAGGTGTTCACCCATGAAACACCATGCTGTTTTCCAAACATGACCCCCCCCACACACACGACGTGCTGTCCCTTCCCCTGCACCGCAGCGTCCGAGCACAAAGAGTTGGCGTCGTGCTCGGCGTCCTCCACGGCACCCGGCGCGGCACCCCAGTGGCGGCTGTCGTAGGCACTGGTCTTCGAGGATTTCTCCTGAGGATGGAGACTCAATGGCCCAAGTTTGAGGGACATGCGGTTTTCAGAGGACTTTTGGACCCAAACACTCCATGGGACTGCCATATTTGCCGATCTGATATGGCATACATGGAGTGTCTGGGTAATACTAATATTAATTAGGTCAAGGTGGACTTCTGCAAGGCTCATGGGCTAAAGCAGCAGAATCTGAGAGTCGACGGTGCATGGAAGGAAAATGGATGAAACCAGTCCCGAACAGGACGACAACGGTCCTTTGTTACGAACAGGGGGTTTTCCACGAACTCATGACTCATGTTCGTGTAATTTTTTTGGTGTACACCCATGGCCAGCATGTGAGCATCCAAAAGCCGCGATCAAAAAAACGGTGTCAGTCATGCACGAAGTAGGAGGAGGCCACGGAGGGATTCTCGCGGCGCCCCCAATACTTCTGCAGCTTCTCCATTCCTCGGCGCGCTCGATCCGTGACGTGCGACGGAGAACGCGTAAAGCGCGACGTGTTACGTTCAGCCGGCCAATGGGCGTGCAAACGGGACAAAAAGGGGGGGCGTTGGCCTTCATCAAGTCGGAAAACGGCAAACACAAATCACGAATGAAACCTGAAGTTCTCCAAGTGACCCTCCTCGACCTTCATCTCCAGCTCATGCATTCGGCTCTCCTCTTCCGGGTCCAAATGCTCGATCACCTCGAAAAAGGTAAAGTCTGGAAGAGTCGCGAGCGATATGAGCGACATGGATTCTCCGAAAAAATCCAGCCCAAACGCTCCATGATGGTGCATTCACCATCATTCACCACTTAAAACCACCAAATGTAGGCCATATGCATACATGGAACGTGTGGGAAGCATCAAATGCCGTTCCATTCTGATCTTCCTTCCAAACTGGGATCAGGCGAAGCGGTCGACTTCAATTCTGCAAGGGCAGCCCTTTTCGGAAAGGGCACCGGTTTGCAATTCAAAGTGACGTCGCAAATTTGAGGACCAACAAGTAACCTGTTTTGCTCAATGTGTCTCCGTGTCTCCTTCTAAAAGGATCATGAGCCATGAGCTTGTGACAGCTCCCCCAAATCTCCCTGTCACGATGTCGCTCGGACAGCTCCGACCGCAGAGCTTCACGAGCTTCACGTTTCACGTCTCTGGCCAGGGGGGCTACAGAGCGGTTACTAAGGCGAGCAGGATTCTGCTGCAGCAGGGCTTGGTATCCTTCCAACATCAGCATCTGACCTGGAGAGCAAGCGGGCAGAAAGGAACTTGACCTGGAATAGCAAGCAGCTATATAAGGGGCTTAGCTGATTGAAACTCTGATTGAAATTATGTTTCAGAACCAAAGCAGTTGACAACGACTTCCTTTTTGCACCAGTTCACTG